TTAATAAATTTTTATTAGATTGGATTGGATTAAAGGGAATCAGGAAAGGCTTCCAATGGAAGGTTAGATTTTGGCTGAGACTTGAAGGAAGCCAGAGGAGTGAGGAGGGAGAGATAAAGAGGGAGAATATTCAGGCAGGAGGGAAAGCAAGTGAAAATTCTTGGGAAGTTGGATATTAGGTGTCTTATGTGAGGAACAGAGAACTTAACAGAAGTAGAAGAGATTAAGAAGAGGTGGCAAGAATACACAGAAGACCTAAACAAGGAAGATCCTAACATTACTGATAACCACAATGCTATGGTTGCTTATCTAGAGCCAGACACCTTGGAGAATGAAGTCAAATAGACCTTAGGAAGCATTGCTAACAATAAGGCTAGAGAGGAGGTGAAGGGATTCCAGCTGAGCTATTTAAAATTCTAAAAAATGATCCTATTAAAGTGTTGTACTCAATATGCCAGCAAATTTGGAAAACTCAACAGGGGCCACTGGATTGGAAAAGATCAGTTTGTGTCCCAATCCTAAAGAAGGGCAATGCCAACGAATGTTCAAATTACCAAACATTGCATTCAATTCACATGTCAGCAAGGTTATCCTTAAGTTTCTACAAGCTAGGCTTCAACAATATGTGAACCAAGAGTTACCAGAGCAGGCTGGTTTTAGAAGAGGCAGAGGAACTAGAGACAAAATTGCCTGGATTATTGAGAAGACAAAAGAATTTCAGAAAAATATCTGCTGCTGTTTTGACTACACTAAAGCCTCTGTGAATCACAACAGAACATGCAAGACCTCAAAAATATGGGAGTACCAGATCATTTTACTTGTCTCCTGAGGAACCTGTATGTGAGCCAAAAAGCAACAATTAGAACCAAATGTGGAACAACTGATTGGTTTAAGATTGGAAAATGAGTATGACAAGGTTGCGTGTTGCCTTCTTATTTAATTTATATGTGGACAACATAATATGAAATGCTGGGCTGGATGAATAGAAAGCTGGAATTAAAGTTGCTAGAACTTTGAGTGAAGGACCAAGGATTGACTGTATCTAGCATGGGAATACTCCTTCAGTTAAGGTCTGAGAGGTTCATCGCCAGCTGACAGCTTTTTTTTTTTTTGCCACAGTAACTCATGAAGTCCATTTACTTAGGTAGAGAGCATATGTGATATACATTGGATGAAAGCATAGATCACTGAAGTATACAAAAATTGCACAGTATAGTGTAAAGTAAGAAGCAATGTTACACAGTGAATGGAAAGATGCTCAATTTTAGTAAGATTTGGATTTGAATCCTGCCTTTGACACATACCTGGCTATGTGACTTTGGGCAAGTCACTTAACCTCTCCATGCCCCAAGTAACTTGCTAAGACAGAGGTGTCAAATACAGGGCTTTCAACAGTCTAAGAACCGATTAAAATACAATTGGGAAATACTTAGCAAAATAAATAAAAATACAGTAAAACAGATAACATTCATTTTAAAACTAAATCAATATGAAGTCCACATGGATCCTTATGTATGGACTAGTGTCTTCTATTTCTGTGTAAATTTGACACTATTGCTCTAACACTATAAATTGCAGATAACCTTCACTGGAAGAATATCACTAGGGAAATTCTTATACCAGTGAAATCATTAGATCCCTCTCCCTTGAAAGCTGAGTAGGATTTCAAAAGGTAAGAATGGTGGGTTTGGGAAATGAGAGGTAGAAAAAGAGATTTTAGACCCAGAGACTACCACAATGAAAGGTTGAGAATGACAATATCAAATTAAAGTATTTAATAAGCCTTAGAACGTATGAAAACCATATCACCCTATGGATTGTTTTTATATTTGTTGCTGTTTTGGAAAAAAAATTCCCACTTAAAATATGTGGGCAAATTGGCACTTAAAATCACCAATTCAGGCCCCAAGGGACAGCTGCTACATTGACCCTTACTTATGGAAGGTTTGAGAAGCTCACCTGTAACTATCGGTGATCACCCCTATTTAAGGAATTCCATGTGGGATTTCTATGAACAGCTGCCTGTATAAACACTCTATTTCAACCTGCAATTTTAAGAAAACTTTGTCTTGTATGATGAAATAAAAGTATTTCCCCTCTCCTCCCAATTGTCATCTAAAGGGTTGATCAAGGATCTAACTAGGTTTTAACAAGTCCTTAATCAATTTGAGAAGTTGCTCTTTGATCGTAGGTATAGACAGACGATGCCACATTGTATCTTCCTGTGACTGGATAAAAGAACCAAATACACCTCTGGGACTGTGTATAACATTGCAAGCCAATTCAAAATAGCATATTCCAGTACACTGAGTCAAGTCTTGGTCTAATGGAATGGGAGGAGCTCCTGAGAGGAAATTGTCCTGGAGGGAGGATTGAGTTTCCTTCCTCTCCTTCCCACCTTGAGCACTTAATCTTTTAGTTCTTTTTCAATGCCGTCTGATTCTTAAACTCTTTGTGATCCTTTTTGGGATTTTCTTGGCAAAGATGTTGGAGTGGTTTGTCATTTCCTTCTCCAGCTTAATTTACAGATGAGGAAACTAAGGCCATAGGATTAAGTGACTTTCCCAGGGTGACAGAGCTAGTAAGTGTCTTGAGGCTGGAGTTGAACTCAAGTTTTCCTCACTCCAGGTCTAGCACTCTATCCACAATGCCACCCAAAAAGTAACCTTATGAATGTCAAAATGGCAGAAGTTGTAGAGCTCCTATCAACAAAAGCTCTGTTTCCTCAGAATTACAGGGGCTGGTGGCAGCTTGTGTATTGACAGCTGAGAGAACAAAAAGGACAAACAAATGCAATAGGAAGGGAACTTTACAAAGGCCCAGGGGAAGGTAACACCCAAGCAAAATTTGTTTAACAACAAGATCTGGGTGGATAGGTGAGGAAGGTAAGCAGGACTTTTAAGTTTAATCTTTATTGTTAGCATTCTTTCCATCTCTTTCTTAAGTCTAGAAATCAACAAAACAATTCATCAAGCTCTAGTTTATAACATTTTCTGTTTTCTGAGATGTCAATGCTCGCACTGAAAACAGCAATCCGTTCTCCTGAAGAGCATTCTGCTGCAAGACCTTCGTGAAGACTCTATGAAGGGAGAAGAGGACTTCTGCCAACCACACTGGAATGGTGACCTTTGGTCATATGAGCTCTTCAAGTTTCAGCCTATTCTTTCCAGGATTTTGCATGTGAAAAGGAAGGTGCACCCCCTGTTCGGAGACATATTTCTGTTGCAACTGTTTTTACTATACCTGCTTATTAAATACCCTTTCTAAAAACTAAGTTTAGCTGATAATCAATAGAGAGCACACTAGCAAGCAATGGTACTAGAAAATCCCCAGGCCCTCAGGGTTAACTTTAGCTGCTCTCTGGGGAACCTGGCCTGCCAAGTTAAGTTGTTATTGCTGTCTTTTATTCTCAAAAAGGGACCTATGACATCAGGAACACACTTGACCTGCAGGTGAATTGGCTTTAAGTGAAGGAGGGCTGTGCAAAGTCATCAGCCTCCCTCTCTCCTCCGAAGCCATCTGGGTCCAGTGGCAAGATATAGATCAAGCTGCAGTGAGAGACTTTGATCTTTTTTTTTTTTTGGCAATTGGGGTGAAGTGACTTGCCCAGGGTCACACAGCTAGCAGTATCAAGTGTTTGGTCTGAGGCCAGATTTGAACTCAGGTCCTCCTGACTTCAGAGCCAGGGTTCTATCCGCTGCACCACCTAGCTGCCCTGACAACCTGATCTTTTTAAGGTCTCAGTTTGTCTGATGCAATGGCCATTCAGCAATTAAGGCTAGATAAGAAATGAGGCCCAAAAAATGGCCTCTTTTACCTACTCAGAAAAAAAAAATCGATCTGGAAGGGGAAGACCCTCAGGGTTTCTGGCCAAAACAGAAACAATTGCTATTTACACTCTGAGCCATCAAAACCCAAATAATGACCCAGTGAGGCTAGGGCTGGGACCTAGTGTTGACCAAGGTAAGTAGGAGTGGGGCAATAGATTCAGAGGCATGCTACACAGCATAAGTTGTGACCAAGAGCGTTAAGACCTGTTGTGCCAAGGAACCATTCCATAACTTAAAGTAATGAGCAATCAAAAGGTCAAAGGTGAAAGATCCAGAAGCTATAAGTGAAGTTAGTGTCTTGTTTTCCCACCAGCTAAAATGCCAGAGAGCTGAAAGTGGTTATAGAGAAGAATTAAGAGACAGCAACTCATATAGTCAACTCATATAGAGACATATAGTCTCTAACTGTCTTCCATAGACCTATAAGATGTGCACACTGGGAAACTGGGCTGGCATATATCAGGGACCCAAAGGCAGCCTTGCCTAGGAAAAGCTGTCTGGGGAGTGTTTCCTTACAGGTGGATAAAGGGGGAATCAAAAAATGTAAGGGATTGGGGGATATATGCTGCTATTTTGTGCTAAAGAGAGCAGAAGATTCCACTATTGAGGAGATCCCATGGGTGAGGAGGTCTAATCACCCCACCCACGTGGCTGAAGCTGGATAAATACTTGTTGATTATTGCCTAAGAGCTGCGAACTAGATTCCTTGCCACCTCACACATGCAAATAATTAAAATATCCTTTGTTCACTTGGTTTCTTCTTATAGTCAGCCAATCAAGAAATATTAAGTGCCTACTATGTGTCAGGTACTGAAGGTAAAAGACAGTCCTTACTCTCAAGGAACTCACAGTCTAATGGAGGAGACAATATGCAAATAATGACAAACAAGCTATATACAGGATAAAATAAAACAGAAGAAAGATACTAGAATTAAGACTTAATTATAGGAAACAGGTCATAAAAGAAAAATGTATTATGACTTCAATTCTTTCTTTTTTATGTGTATTAGGAGGGAATGTGAGATTTTCTATAAATTCACTGTTGCCAAATTGCATATTAGAAAATCAACCTTGCCCAAAATAATTTTCTCAAAATTACTTTTAAGAGAGTCACTTTCCATAGATTTCAGCACATCTTATAATATAGTTCTTTTAATATGAGCTGCTTAGTCTCCTTAGAATATTATAAATTATTTATCTTAGAAAAAACACATTAAAACAGAAATAAAACATCTATTAGTTTATATAACTCACAGCAGTAAGTTAAAAATAGCAGAATGCATGCGATTGAAAGAGAAATATGTATGCGACCTCAAAGAACAATTTTTTGTCAGTTTCACATTAAACATTGAAAACAAAAGTTGACTTATCTTAAAATAAGCTAGTCACTATATTACTTAGCTACAAGCAAATGTTTAGTTTGTAAATAAGGATGAACCAACAATGCTTGAATATGTAGTTCATCAAAATCACAACAAGAAACCAAATATTCTGAATGTATAAAATTCCATGCTTATTTAATATCTATTACATAGCTGGCTCATTGAAACCAAACTCTGTAGAGACAAATAACATTTCTGATGAACATAAACATAATCATATAGTTGAAAATCATCCTGTATTTTCACATGAATAAAGATATCATTAGGCAAGAGTTTCAACAAGGAAAGACCTTTCTTTGAATTGATGTGACATCTCTCAACATTCCAACATAGCAATAGTCTTGACTAGATCTGTGAAGGACGGGACACCAGATAGACAGATCGGCACTGAGAAATTCACTTATCTTCCTCAGTGCTTGGCTGCTGTTGACTTGCCTCAAAGATACTACATCTACATCGGCTGCTGGCAATGCCACAGAGGCATTCTCAGAGGAGTTCTGGAGTTCATGACTGGTCTACCTAGGCCCAGAAAAGAAGAACAAACGTTAACATAGTAGATAGAATGTCAACCCTTAGATGAGGAGGGCTGCAAATTTGCTACTCTTTTAAACTAACTTTGTTGGTATTGAATACTCTCAGCTTAAATGAGGCCCTGACCTCCTTTTTTAATATATTGTGAGTGATTAGCCTTGAGGGCAATGATTGCTACTTTAGCTACACATCTTATAAGCAAATTGTAAGTTCACAAATTCTTTTAAACTTGCAATTAAGTTCAAAAATATACCAACCAACTAAAATTATTTACTCACATGAAGTGTGCAAGTTAGCAAAGAAAACATCAGCATTTTTGTCATTATTTCCATAGCAAAAAAATATTACATCATTTGCCTCGTGGATGGACTATTTTAAAGCTTATCTCGAAGAACTTAAATTGAATTAGCTACAGGAACACCATATATAGGTTTTCCTGAACAATATCATCACATGATAACATTATATAATTAATGTATTATATAATGCATACAGCACAGCGCTTTGCATATAGTAAGATTTTTGAAATTGTTTAACACATTCATTCATAACTAAATCCCACTATAAAGCTGTGAAATTCCACTAATATGATTGAATCAATCATCCAGTGATAGGTGGTACAATGGATAAAGTCCTGGGCCTAAAGTTAGGAAGACTCAAATTTGTGAGATCAAATCCAGCCTCAGATACTTGCTAGCTGTGTAGTCCTGGGCAAGTTGTTTAATCTTGTTTTCCTCAGTTTTCTTATCTGTAAAACGAGATGGAGAAGGAAATGGCGAACCATTCCAGTATCTTTGCCAAGAAAACCCCAAGTGGGGTCACAAGACTGAACAAGCAAAATGAGCAACTTATTCATATGGAACTAAATGATATCAAAACACTGTTTTGCCTAATACTGGGTTTTGGAGGAACCGATTATGTGCTAAATTCAAAATGCTCATCTCATGAAAGAGCAGATGAAGTCAGGAAAGGAATGCAGGAAGATAGAAGCATCATCTAGAGAACGTAAGAAACAGAAAAAAAAGGCAATTTGTTTTAAAATGTTTAGCAAGTCTAAAAAGAATCTTTATTCATTCTTTTTAGGAAAGAGCTTGCCCTGATAAGTGGTTGAGCTAAGGAACCTTTCTCCCTTCTCTGTGGTCAGACTTCATTTTCTTTTGACTTAATAGTCTGAAGCACATCATGGTTGGTATCTGCTAGGACAGAGGTAAGAGGCAAAAAAATGCTTCCTACTAGATGAAAAACTCCCAGAGGATAGGGGCTATGGACACCTTTATATCCCTGAGAAAGTCTCACACAGTTCCTGGGGTTATTTTGGACACTTGATAAATGTTTTTTGATGGACTCAGTGAATGAAAGGCCCTAGCTTCCTTAAGAATTTATATTGGATCTAATGCACTTAAAATAAAATGGGAAATGGGTATCCTGGGGGGAAAATCTTTGAAGCAAGTGTCTCTGATAAAGTATTAATTTCCAAGATATGCAAGAAGCCAATTCAAATTTTTTTAAACTAAGAGCCATTCTCCAACAGATAAAGGGTCAAGAGACATGAAGTCAGTTTTCAAAGTGATATGTCCAAGCTATCAACAACCAAATGAAAAAATGCTCTGAATTACTAATAGAGAAATTAAATTTAAATCATTTTAAAGGTTCAAACTGGCAAAAATAATAAAAGAGAAAAACAACAAGTATTGGAAGGGCTGTGAGAAAATGAGCACACTAGTACTCTGTTGGTGGAGCTGTGAATTGGTCCAGCCATTCCTGAAAGTAATTTGGAACTATGCCCAGATACCTACATAATCGTGTATAAGCTGGGCCTCCATTATACCACGATTAGGTGCCACTCCCCAAAGAGATCCATGGAAGGAGGAAAGGACCTATCTGTACAAAAAAAAAAAATTAAAGCAGTTCTTTTCATGGTAGTCAGAAACTGAAAACTAAAGGGCTATCCTCCTATTTATGAAGAATTAAACAAATTGTGGTACATGAATGTAAGGGAATACTATTGTGACAAAAGAAATTGTGAAATGCTAGGAAGAGTTTATGAACTGATGTAAAGTGAAGTGCGTAGAAATAGAAGAACAATTTATGCAATGATAACAATATCAGAGAGAGAACCAATTTTAAAAGGCTTTACAATTCTGATCATGCAGTGAAAAAGAAAAAAATAGTACAGGAGACACAGGAGCTAAAGCTACTATATCATAGGTTCAAGTCTATCCCAGATCCAGAGAAATTTAATTTCTTCTTTTGCCATACACTTATCTCTGCAACTTAAAGCTATAACATCAGACCAATGTCTATTTATGTAATATATCTGCAAAATCTTCCCTTTTCCTAAACTCTTTTAAGAGAAGCCAATAAAAATAAATTATTATTATTATTAGTCATTTAAAACAAGCAGGGCAGACAGCCCAATACAACACAAATGAAATATGGTTTTTCCCTGGTGAGTGAGGTTACAAATAGGACAGCTAAGTCCAAAAGCCCAGGTGAGCAGGCACTCACACATTTTCCTTTCATTTTTTTCATTTCCTCTTTTCTGAGGTTATGCAAGATGAGAAATGGGGGGAACAACAAGAATGAGGTTACAGAGATAAAAGACAAAAATGACCTGTGGGGGTTGAAGAAAAGATGGTCTTGAGAGATTCTAGAAATGAAGGAGAAAAAATAGTGACCGAATTGGCCAGCAGCTAAACGTGGGAGGAAGGGAGGCAAACGTCAAATGTATGAGCTTGGAAGAGTGGAAAAAAATAATAGCACTAGCACTTCCAACAGGGATACAATATGTGAAGAGCAATGCAGGGGGCAATAAACACATTTCTAAATAGGCAAAAAGAGCTAAGAATAAAGCTTACCTCCTCTTCTTTCTCCTCCTTCCAAGGCCCATGCTTTGATCCCTGGAATACATTTAGTGAAATGTTAAAATTAATAATCATGTTAATATAAGGCTTTGATGAAAAACTAAAATTGCTGCCTTAACTGTTACTTTCTTTCTTCATTTTACTTCTTATAAGGATTTGTGTTGAAGATAAATACCCAGTGACAGAACCTGTTACTATTGCTTACACAACAGTGAATGCTCAAACAAAAGGTGGAGTGCCTACATGAGAAGACACTGATAATACATACACACAAAAGAAGTTTTTCTGACTGGCCTATTTTTGGTAGGGGGTTCTTTGTTCTGATTTGCAATTTTGGACAAAATGTGGTTTTTTAAAAATTTTATTTCATTTATTTTATTTGTATTATTTATTTTATTTTCCTCATTTATTATTTATTTGCTTTGAATTATTTATTTTTTTTTAATTTTATTTCCTCACATGTACTCACATGGTGCATATAAAAGAGATCTATGAGCAAGAAATGTTTGCATGTCCTCATTCAGAAGGAACAGCCAGTCCATCTCTGCACTTATCCTTATAACAATAACACATGGCCCAAGGATTTGTCTTTGGGGTTCCTGTTACCTTGCTGAAATCTAACACTACCTGGCTTGCTTCCTGATCTTGGCCCTGTTTCCATGGACAAATGCTTAACTGAAGAGAGGGGAGCAGAGCAGAGGAAAGGGCAGGGCCAGGAAAGAGTTTTGGGGGATTCCTACAGTTAGTATTCCCTGGATGAAGATCCAGCAGAGGAGGGAGGGAAGTGGTCAACAACGTAGGGGGCAAACTAGGCAAGAGCAAATCAGAAACCCTTGGAGAAAAGAGAATATAAAGGAGAAGAGGGTAATCAATAGCACCAAAGGCTGCAGAGAGGTCAAGAAGGATGAGGACTGAGAAATAGCCATTCAATTTGGCAGTGAAGAGATCATTAGTAACTTTGGAGAGAGCAGTTTTGGTTGAATGAATAAAAGACTAAAAAAGATATTCCCAGATGGCTGCCTAGAGTGATTTCCTTCACACGGTTCTTCTCCACCCAGCAAAGTGTCCTCAGCAGTGGCCTTGTGCCAGTGCTATGAGGTCTATCTCACCGACCTAGGAAGTAGTGTCCTACTCCCATGCCATGCTCAACTGAAGGCACACTTCATGTTGATCACCCCTGTTATTATTTGTGATAGTTTCCCCGAGTTTAAAAATTCCTGCTTATGGCTTGGTTTTCTGGTCTTCTCCTGGTCTCCTGATTCAGTCAGTCAACAAATATTTATTGAATGCTTACTATTTGCAAGGCACTATTCTAAACCTTGGGGATACAGAGAAAGGCAAACCAAGGCCCCTTCCCACAAAGAGCTCACATTCGATTTGGAAAAATGACATGTGCTTTAGGAAGATCCTCACCTCCCCTGCCAATCACATGATTTCTCGCAGCTCTAGTTGAATCCTAAATTCCTTCTCCACATTCATCAGAAGCTACACAACTGGTCCAAGTGACTCTGCTTCCTATGTCACTATGACTTTCACTAGCTGTGTCATAATGGATTTTATACTGTTTATATTGATCTTAGAAGCAAAGACCTGAGGGGTGTGTAAGAGGACTCAGTGCAGCTGTTAACTACCATTTGTTAAGATGCATAAACTAGAAGTAAGCAGCAGCCAGATGAACTTGGAACATCTGATCAGAACCATAAAAGATTATTTGAAAATGCCCATTTTTGAACTTAGGAAGTTGTCATTTTAAACATTGCCACCGGGGACAGCTAAGTGGCACAGTAGATAGAGCACCAGCCCTGAAGTCGGGAGGACCTGAGTTCAAATCTGGCCTCAGACCAAACACTTAACACTTATTAGCTGTGTGTCCTTGGGCAAGTCACTTAACCTCAATTGCCTAAAAGAAAAGAAAGCATTCTTTAGGGGGCAGCTAGGTGGTGCAGTGGATAAAACTCTGGCCTTGGAATCAGGAGGACCTGAGTTCAAATTTGTCCTCAGACACTTGACACTTAACTAGCTGTGTGGCCCTGAGCAAGTCACTTAACCCCCATTGCCTCACCAAAAAAAAAATAAAATAAAATAATAAACATTGCCACCATAATTAACGAACTAATTGCCCTCTATGGCTGATCATTTTCCTGACATGCTCAGTCTGAAATTGTCAACTACTTTAGCTGCAGACTTCATCTTTAAACAACAAAATACATAACTTCTAAAATACTAAGGAAACATTTCAATGGGTAGATACAGTTTGATCTTCAGGACACCAATGGAACTACATGTGCTGTTTCTCTCCCCTGCAACCATTCTATCATCATGTAGCTTCATGTGTACATGTGCGTAAAATGGTATCATCTTCAAAACAGGAAGCATCACTACAAAGTCAAGACTGGCTTCAAAGTATTTAATGTGTCAATTACTGACCTTCAGAATGTTCTGCACGATTGAATTGCATTGTTATTTCTACTACCTTTAGTTGTATGTGAATTATGTTTAACATAATCAGACTAATTATTATATAAAGACAAATATTAGGTGGAATCCAAGAATTATTTTATTTTAATGATTTTGGTCATAAAGTTAAACTGAAGGCAATGGGACTTGTAATTGAAGTCCATCTACACTGGATAGAAAACTACTATATTTCTACCATCTTCTGGTGTGGTGAACACTTTTGTACTAATGAAAATGCTAGTTCAGTCAGTGGCATTTCAAATAAGGAAGCAGAGGCTATACTTTGGAGCTGAACATAAACATAATTTGAAAAAGTGATGATGAACTAAGCCATATTTACACAAGTATTTGAAATAATGGCTTACGAATCCTGGAGCATGTCCTCCCTCCTCCTCTCCCCTTTTAACTGAATCACATAGAGTATCCTATTGGTTCACTGCTCAGTTCCTTATTCAGGCTCTAATCTTCCAGCAAGACATGAAATCTGGTCTGTCTCACCACCATTTTTCACATTAAGCATGCATCTCCTGCTGTGGTGCTGGAGCGAGGGGTGAGATGTTGGAGGAGGGAAAAGGAAAACTCTGAGGTTTTCTCAACATACTTCATTATTTTTTAATTCTGAACTTCAACATGTGAAAATTGGAATGACAGACCACCTAAACCTTATATTCATTGATGAATTCTGCAGAAACAGTCATGATAAAGGGGGGTAGGTGTGTATTACCCTGTCAGAGGTAGATACCTTTGCTGTGCAGTATCAAAGTTCCAGAAATATCTGCAGGTAAATGCTCACTGGGGGAAAAACACATGCAAATATAATATGTGATGGACTTTCCTTCTACTACATATTTATTCTCACTGTCAAATTCCTGTCAAATTCAAATTCAAGTTTACTGTAAAATAATATATCAAATCATGATAAAGCATCTTAGTGGAGTAAAGTCTTTTTCTCCTTCTGGGACACTGGACATTAGTGATGCAGAAAAAGTCTCCTATGCACACACATCCAACTCCCCTAACATATCCATCAGAACCCATCAATTACAAAACAATTTAATTAGTGACGTGGTATTAAATTACGCGTTCCCCATCTTGAAATCTTTTTGCACCTGCTCACCACAAAACAATTATCAGCCCTACCAGGTTCAGATCTAGAGAATACACCATTGCCACTACCAAGTACAGCACACGCTTGTGCTTCAGTGATAAAACTGACTGCCATCTATATTTCCCAGACACAAATGGCTGCTTAGATGGCCCAAGCACAAATTGCTCTAAGTAGGGGTTTTGAAAATATGATCCATAGACCTCTGGTGGTCTGGAAAGATACTTAAGATGGTTAAGGCATGTATTAAGCACACCACATGTAAGACATTATGATAGGTTCTGAGTAATAATAACAATAATACATTCAAGACGAGGTTTCCAAAGCACTTTGTATACATTGTCTTTTTTTTTTTACAACATAGTTTCTGTCTCAGAGAGCTTATAATCTATTTTGGGTTTTTAAAATGACCATGTTTATGCTTTTACTTCTGACATTAGCTGGTCATTATTTGTGATATGCAATATAAATGAGGAGTTTGGTCTGCCCGTTGCCACAGGAAAGATCTAGTGGAAGAAGAATGTCTTATTACCCATATTTCAAGATCACTAATAGCTAAGATAACTAAGATAAGAAAACAGCTAGCATTTATATAGTATTTTAAGGTTTGAGAAGAACTGTGTATATGTTATCTCATTTGACCCTCACAATAACTCTAAGAGATAGGTACCATTATTACCCCAATTTTACAGATAAGGAAACTGAGGCTGAGAGTTTAACTAACTTGCCCAGGATCACACAGCTAATAAATGTCTGAGGGAGGAGTTGAACTAATTTTTCCTGACTCCAAGTCCAGCACTCCAACCCATTCCTAGCCACCCAACGTATATTGGGATGGACAATCTAGAGAGCTTGTTGAATAGTATGCATATCTGTGACATAGTGCGGATGGTCAGTAAACTAAGCCCAGAGTTGCAGAGGATGAGGAGTGTAGGCTATTGCTTTCTGGAAATTGCAAAGCTCTTTTACTGACTTCAAGATTCCCACAAAAGGAAAAGCCCATCTTTTCAATTTTACCTTTGTTGCTGTATTGCAGCTAGAAGTGAAATACCACTGCTTCTGAAGAACTAAAGATGATTATCCACAGAAGACAATGGAAAGCCACATGGTAGGTGTGAAACAAGTTACAACATATAGCCACTAAGGAACTGCGAAGAAGTAAAGGAATCAGGGAATTGTATAATAGGAAGAGAAGATGGGCTAATACATGGCAAGAGTGAGGGATAACAGGTGGACATCTGGAGTACTCCGGTGGTTCCATCAAAAGAAGGTAAAGAAGGCATCCAAAATTCTTGAGTGAGTGGTGAACTTTTGGGAGAATAAGTACCACAGTATAGGCAAGTATAGATGGACTATTCTCAGCCTCATTAGAAGGATGTCCTAAATCAATGAAATCACTGAACCTTTTGAGTATAAATAAATAGAAGTTATTGTCTTATTTGAGATCTCGTCAAAAGCAGCAGCAGTTTCCATGTTTAGTTGTATGGACTATTTTTGTAGGATAAAACTGAAGTGGGTTGGGCAGGTAGCAAGTAGGGTCTTGTCACGTGGAAGTGGTGAATGAGTTGAAACATTTTTCTAACAGTAGCAGTCATGTTTTTATTCACTAGACCTAAGATTCTTAGCTGACTCTGAAGAAGTGTGATATAAAAGCAAACCTGAATTTGATTGATTGAATGACATTGGAAGGTTCCTAAATAGTTCGATGTAGAGAGAGTTTGCATGTTCTAGAGGAGTGGCTTTTTACAATCCATGGCATCTTGCTTGAATCATTTCCTTCAGCCCTGATCATGTTCCATTATTACAGTCCACATAATGTAGCTCCAAGTCTATAACCAATACCTTGAGAAAGTAAAATGAATTTGACAGGTTTACCTTTGGTTGACTGGCATGTTCCTCACCAACACCCCTTAATAAAAGGGGACGTGCTCGGTGGTTCTGTATTGCGAAAGAAACACAGACTCAAGATCACAAAGAAAGAAGAAATGCATGAACTCTACTGATTTTTTAAAAGGTATAGTCAACACATTATTCAGGCTAAATTACCCCCTGAAAAAAGCAGAGGTTTTAGTGGTGAATAGGCCTAAAAATACGGGGCACCTTTTGAGACAACATAATATTCTACAAAACTCTTTATGGAAAAATGATGCTTCCCAATTGGCTCACACACATTAGTGCTGCCTCCTGGCTGCATAGTCACTTTTCTATATGAATCACCAAATCTTTCTTGTCTCCAAGGTTAGGACCCATTGACACCATTCTTATTTACAAACCATGCACAATTTCACAATACCATCTATGCTACTATTGTTCAGGATTTATTACCTTGTATCAGGTTTGTCTCTGAACTCTGGTTTTTGAGGGGAAGAAGCTATCAATTCAGCATCCATTCATCTTTCCTAATGCCAACTCAGAGCATATTTCTCCATCCCTGTTCTCATGTCCACATAGAGAAAGCGTCTTCTAAGATGCTAGCTAATATAAGGTTGGTTATCAGAACATTTAGTAATGAAAATTGCCGCACTTAATAAATGCATTGTTTTATTCATCCAATATTCACTAATTTTAAAAAATAATTTCAAAAGCAACTCAAATTCAATGGTATATCCTCTGAGGTAAGTGCACTGGCCATAGCAATTCTAGCTTTGTTGAATGAAGGGTGATGATTCTCTTTGCTCTCAGAAACCTCACATAAACCCAAGCGACTCCTCTATATAGAAACTCAATCCATTAACTACAGGAACATGAGTCACATTTAGTACTGAACTGTTCAAATGGATCTCTAATCTCGGTGACATTGGTCTTTCCTTCAACGATGCAGATCACAATCTCTCCATGCCTGTCCATGCCTGTGTAAATGTTGTCCATATCTTTCCAGGAGTTTCCCATCCAACATGTTGGAGGTCTTCCTCACTTTTTCCTGATGTAGTGAGCATACCAATAGAGAACACGAAGAGTCTATTGGAATAATATGATATTCTATTAAGAATACCAAATAAAATATCTTATTGGTTTAGCATTGACTAAAGGGTCTAATTGTTCTGAAAAGCTCCTTATTTTCAGCAATGGAATTCAGACTATGTATTCTTTATTTTAGCCGGACTACTAGTCATCTCTAGTACAAGCTGGGCATACTCCCCTACAAGACTTTTGCTTATGTCATTCCTTATACCTAAATCCCCCTTCTAATGTCAGCTATTTCTTTGGAAATTCTACATATCTCTCTCTCTTTTTTTTTTAATTTTATTTTTATTTATTTGGTTAGGCAATGGGGTTAAATGACTTGCCCAAGGTCACACAGCTAGTAAGTGTTATGTGTCTGAGGCTGGATTTGAACTCAGGTCCTCCTGAATCCAAGGCCAGTGCTCTATCTTCTGTGCCACCTAGCTGCCCCCTCTACATATCTCTTAAAACCCAGTTCAAATGTCACTAACTGTAAGGACCCTTCCCTGACTACTCCAATCAAAAATGATCTTTCCTTCCTGACATTACACAATACTCTGCACTTGCCCCCACCTAGATTGCAAACTTCCTACAAGCAAGGAAAGGAAGGAAAGAGAATAAGTATTTATATAGTATCTGTCTGCCAAATACTATGCAAATTGCTTTTTATAATTTTTTTTATTTGATTCTCACAACAACTCTGAGGTGTAGGTGTGATTATTATCCTCATTTCACAGTTGAGGAAACTGAGGCAGACAGAGGCTAAGAAGTTTGCCCAGAGCAATATGGTAAGTGTCTGAGGCTGGATTTGAACTCAAGTCTTCCTGACCGAAGGCCCTGGGCTCTACTGACTAATCAGGGGCAATCTTCTTGATTTTTTTTTAACCTCTCACCAGTACGTAGCAAAATGCTTTGTATATAGTTGGAAGATGGAATGGGTTGAAATGAACTCTGGAGAAGTGAAGCATTATTGTCACTTGTACTTATATGATACTTTATCCTTTAGGAAGAATATACATTCATAAGATTAAGTGCGGAAAAAGGTAACCAGGACACTGAAAGGCCTCAGAGCCGTGACACACGAGGATTATCTGAAGGGACTGGGGACCTTTGACTCAGATAAAAGAAGACTTCAAAAGATCATGATTGCTGTCTTCAAGTTATCTGAAGAGTCGTCATGCACAAGATTACATTTGTTCTTTTTGGTCTTGTTGGGCAGAAGTCGGACCAATTGAAAGAACTGGCAAAGAGGCAGATTAGGCAGGAAGTTAGAGAATGCACCAACCTGGGATGTTTTGCGTGTAGCTGCATATCAGAAGATGTGAGCTCCTTGAGGGCAGGGACTGTCTTTTGCCTCTTTTTTGTATCCCCAGTGCTTTGGCACAGTGCCTGGCACTTAGCAAGTGCTTAATAAATGTTAATCAATTGATTGAATGATTCATCAACTTTTTTAATCATAGCATCCTTTATTCTAGTTCTTCTTCATAGTTCCCCATTAGTTGTTACATCCTATTCACATCTATCAATAGCCTCTATTGCTCTCTGAATGATGCTCATTTTTAATTCTCAGAGACTACTGTGTTCCATGACTTGAAATTATACAACAACAGAGGTAAAATACAGGCATTAAAAAGAAAGAACTTTAACTGAGAGGTGTATAATTATGATCGCCAACCTTGGTACCAACGAAGAGATGAGAAAATGCACTCCTCTCCCTCTTTTGTAGAGTTTGGAGACAATTGGTGTGAAACCTTCTATATGATGTTGTAATTTGGTTGATGCATTGGTTAGTTTTGGTGAACTATTTCTTTGCACTCATTTTTATTCTTTTTTTAAAGTATAACTCTGAGTGGGAAAAGGAGAAGGTATTGTTTTTGGAAATGAAAGTAATGATTAAAATAAAATTTTCAAAAAACAATTTTAGGTGGGCCTTTATTTTAGGGAGAAGCCTGGAATCACTAAGGTTAACTCACCAATTTCCAGCCGGAGATAGTGTTGGAAGACTTGTGTTCAAATACTATCTCAGATGCTTACTAGTTTTGTGATCCTGGACAAATCATTTAAGCCCTCTCTCAGCTTCAGTTTCCTCATGGTAAAAATCAGACAATAGAATCTATCTCTCAGAATGGTTATGGGAATCAAATAAGATAAGACAGGTAAAATGCTGTATAGTGTGCTATATAGATGTTAGCTATTTCACTATTATTACTAACTATTAGCTGCTACTACCTTTACTACTACTACCACCACTGCTTTTAAAGGCAATCCAGTAATCTTTCCTATATTTTGATAGATGTGTTCTATATAGGTTTTTATCTCACTGAATATCATAATTGGGACAATAGTCATTTTTCATCCACTTGGTTTTTCCTGAGTAGATGGATTGGCCAAACTCTTTGGAGTAATAATAGATCTTATCTAAGAGTCTCTGAAATATTCCGAGCTTTGATGTAACCAGCTCAAGATCATCTACAAAGAGGAACATCTTACAGAAGTTGGCTTGATGCATTAAAAATTTACCATCTATCGAGAATCCCTCTTCAACTGTGACTCTGCTTTGGATCTCCTGATACTGACAAGCATAAACCTTGTTTTATGTCCTATCTGATAATAATAATCAGAGAGTCATCAAACAAGTTTAACAGTTGTTATAAATTTCTAAGAATCTTGAATAATTTTGATGTATGCATGGGTGATACCTTTTTTGGAAGAGAGCTTTTTAGGTAAGCTTTTGCTTTAGCAAATCAAATGCATTAAGATTGCATATTTTTTATATCTCTAGCAATTGTATAAAGACAAAAATGTGGCCTACTGCAATGAAATATCACTTGAAAAAATTTGCCTATCCCCCACCAATAACATCCTCATCTAGGAAGCCCTTGATGCATTCATGGATTATTTTCACAAAAATTTATTAAAGAAATATCAAAGAATCTTGGTATACCAGTTTAAAAACTCAATCACTCCACACAAGGATTTTAAAGAATCCTCCTTCTCAGGAGGGAGCATCACTATGCCCTCTCAGAGACAAGGCAAAAATCAAGCACATTATTACTAGCTGAGGCTAATTTTATCCTTGACGTCCTGGGGCTACTTAACTACAATCCAGTTATCTGCTTGTGGCACTAACCAATAACAGGAAAGAATATCCGTGGCAAATCCATTGTACTTAGTCTGTGTGATGCCAAAAACAATCCAGAGATTTTAGGTCCCTTCATAATGATCAGATATCTCTGAGGTGTCAACATTTGAGGAGCTAAAAAGCTTCTGGTCATTTCCTTGGTAAATATGCTGAAACTGAAGGATCAAATAGCTTGTTCAATTTATAATGTCTTATTACAAATTTTTAATTTTTTACAAATGAATTATTAAAGTCACAAGTGATAGTGGCTCCCTTTGAAGAATTATTTAACACCTTCCTTTAGAAATCAGCTTAATTCAGCACTTAAAAGATAGTAAAAAATTCCAAAAAAACCTGATGTGATCTCTGAAGTGTCAAGGTGCATGTGATGATGAATACAATGGAAAATTTTCCAGGTGACTTCAATCAAGCTATATGACATGACTTCTATTCAGTGAATAAGGGAAGTTATCAGGGGAAGAGAGTGGTTAGCCAATGTACCAAATAGCAAAAAGATCTCTTGGTCTGAAACATGGGTAGCAAAAATGAGTTTCTTATTCACTTAAAGGAATCAAGAGGATGCATTATAGTTCTAGCTGAGCTGGCTTACTCCTAGAGGAAGCTCTGAATAAATCAGTTTCCCAATCTTTAAGAATTATCACCCCTTCGATATCATTAAGATCAATGAGGATTATTTTGAGAGAACAGAGACCTCTGAGCTTATCTGGAAATTGTGGTAGCATAAATTTATATACCCCTGTGTGTCTAAGGAAAGAATTATTAAATGAAGATCAGAATGAGAGAAAGCATCCAACTTGGAGTCAAAAGATCTAGGTTTGAGTCTTGGCATTACCACTTGCCTTTCATGTGGCCT